ATACATAATTAAAAGTGATAAAAAGAGAACCATCCTGGATTCTGGAATGCAACATTTTTAATATGAAAGACTGGAAAGCTGTAAGCTCTTGACGAAAAGAAAAACTTCTATGCAGGTGTTCTTTAACTATGATGAGATTTAAATTGATGTGTGATATTCCATTTTCCTTTTGAAAAACTAGTGAAAAACGTATCTTTAGAGATCATTCTATTACTCTAATAGTTAAAAGCATGGAATACTACGCATATAAGATGCTAGTGGACAAAATAATTCCACAAATGACATTTAAAGCTCTATGGGTCTACTCGATAGGCCTTCAACTGCTGATATAGAGCTGTTTAATTTCTTTTGAGAAACAAAAATAGAATGGTAGAGATGGGGAATTATAATATTTTGCCTATTTTTATAAAAGACAAATCATATACGTATTTTAACAGCACTACAAGTGGCATTAGGTAACAGTATTATTCTATATTTTACAAAATTCCATTAGACGTATGATTGTTTTTTTTCAGTGGAAATCATTTTCAAGAGAGCAATTTTTTATTTTAATCTAATTAAATTGTTCATCCTGCACCACCATGATGAGATAGCATAGCAGGACTTTGGGGGTGGGGGGGTGTTGATGGCGCACAAGCAAACAAAATAGTTCTTAGTGTCTTATTACTTTTTAAATTTTTTAATAGACATGCAATATGCACAGAGAACCTTGCTACTGAATGGCCTAAATGTTTAATAAGTTAATTAACTTCTAAATCACACTTTTAAAATAATTGGTTATATACTCAAAAAATACAAATGGAACCAAGATTACCCCTTCATCCTGTGAAAGTGGGTTGTTGATCATTAAGTCTTGCTGTCCAGCTTTCCGAGGATTTGTAATATGCTGTAGATAGGAACAAGGCATTAGCTGCATTTCAGGCATAATGAAAATATGAAATCAAAAAGAAGTAAATTTCTTTTAAGCCTTACTTACAATTTCTTTTATATTATTGTACATTGCTCTTAATTTTATCGTTTTTGTGATCCAATGATTTCTATCAGAGGGTAGAACATTCAGAAATAGCTGCAAAATAAAAAAAACTGGTTAGAAAAATAAGCAGAATTTTTAACTTCGCAGTATTTCATAAATAGCATTTTTTTTTTCTCTAGAAGAGTGAAATAAATTTACTTACAATGGGTAGTCACTTGAATTTTATCTGCCAAATATACCAAACTACTAAAACAAATTGCCTATAATGCTTGAACACTTGGGTACTATTTTAGGTCAATCATTCTTCAAGATTAATGGGAAAAACGAATCATATTATGTTAACTAATAACAAAGTTGAAAATAAGCTGCTTCAACATGTTCATCATATAGTCAAAGCATCTCTCATACATAACTGATCTTACCATATATTGTTCCTTTTCTTCTATAGTTCAAGTGGTAATTCCAAAGGTAGGACTTGCAGATTAAATAGTTTAAAGTTTTCAGACTCCTCAAAACATTTAAGTTTTTGAAACAGTGGGTATCACTTTATGCTCTCACAGGAGATTATGAATTCCAAAATATATAAATTAAATAAAAACACCAATTTATATAATTAAAGGTCTTATTATAATATACATGTTATATATAAATATAACCAAAATTTTAAGAGGTCTCATAGGAGAATACAGAATTTGTTAAAGATTTGGCTACTGTATTAGATTTTAGTAATTTTAATTTTTTAAAATTTTTATTTCAAAATTCAGCAATCTAACAGCAATACTGATCCTTGCTATAATGGACCAAGCTAGCACTTAGCTTCTTATAGTTCCTTCTAAAATAAGTAAGAATTGTTGTTTACTTTTTAAAAACTTTTGAAACTCTTATTATTTCATTTGTTAACAATGACAAGGTCACGCTCTGTTCACATTTATTCTATTCTATCATTAGTATAACCTTGGAGCCTAGTACAGTGGTACCTCGGTTCATGAACGCTTCTGTTCACGAACAATTCGGTTCGCGACCAGCACCGTTCGCAAAATTTTGCTTCCTTTCGCGAACTCCGCATCGGGTGCCGAACAGGATCTGCGGCCATTTTCCCTGCCGTGACATGTGGCCATGGCTTCCTGTAGCCGAGATCACGGTTGCAGACAGACACTGGCTGTGAAGCTTTTTGGTGTGCTTTTTAGCATGGCTCCAAAGAAGGCGCAGAGCAAGCATGGTAAGAATAAGGTTTTGAAAAAAAACACC